TGCCGTTTGAGGGACAGTTATGGCAGACGAGAACATCGCTTTTATGTGTCGATAAGAATGATGGCACGCGGTTAATATTATCTTAAAGCTGTAAACCTTGGAATTTTATCAACTCACTTGACATATTGTCAATAGGCATGCCAATCGTGATATGGGTTAAGTGTCTTCATACCCTGAATCGCGAGCCAGCCCTCTATTTGTCTCCTCGATAGATGCGATCTTTTGTTATAGTTGCTTGTATATGATACAATAAGATTTTGGTTCATTTGAGGATCTTGTAGAACAGAATGCCGTTCGTTAAGAGAGGTTGCAAGTTTGAGGCCGAGAAATTGTAGACATACTCCCTTGTCAGTGGACTGGTGTAATCACTTGCATATAAGGTGACATACTGTCAATGATGTACACAAACCATTCACAAGCGCATGTTACTAATAACAAGATATCCCTAGCACAAAGGAGACGTATAAATGCAAAATCAAAGAAAAGAGGTATAAAGAAATCGCTAAAGTCGGCAAAAAAGGGAATCGAACTCTCTTCCATAACATGTGTCAGCCTTGGCGCAGGGGGTCATGCTAGTCTTCTCTGTATTGTCACAAGTATAACCATATGCCTCTAGGCGATGGAAATGGTCTCTAATTTGATTATATGAACACGATCTGATATTGTTTTGTGATCGGAGGGAAGATAAGTGAGTTGCCTAGTAGATTCAAGTTTGAGGGTTGCTGCCTGGAGATAGATAGACTGTTTAATCAGGAGGCTGGCAGACTATGTAACGGCTTGTACTGTAAATGGGGTAGGAGGTATCTATAAGTAAGCCCGAAAGAAAGTAAAAAGTAGTTAGAGTATCCCGAGTTTGTCGAAAATTGATTTACTGAGACGGATTTCAAGGTAGATCAGTTATCATACTCTGAAATTCTAAATGTGGAACGACTCTCACATTGATACCTTGCACCAGCTCTCTCTCACTTTTGCGGATTCAAAGCGATGATGCTGACACGATATTGAACGGGCTGTTACATGTATGCCGCTTGTGATCATCAGGAAGATATGTCTTCTACGCAGTCGGAGTAAGAAGTTCGCCGTGGCGGTCGGTACTGATTCTGCATGTGATTTCGAGCGGCGTTTGAACGTTGCGGTCATCAGCAGTGACAAGGCTTGGCGCCCAGCAATTGAGTCGACCCCATTCAGAGCACTGAGTGAGCGCGTGGGGTTTGATTGCGTATCGAATTGGGGCTGTGTAGGGACTTGATGGGTTGAAAGTCGTCACGATTTCTCCATAATCAGTTATTTTCAGCTGTTTTGGGAGTGGATGTGAATGGCTTATCGAATATTGAGCAAAGATCTGGATACCTCCTTATTTATGATGCTTTGGTAGAGACGTACTGCTGTGGCGCGGCGCATAGCTTGTGACTTGGCGGGACAGCAACAGTGAACATCTGAAGGAGTTTCGATAATAGGTAGCCATAATGGCCTTTCGAGGTTGCAAGGATTACTTATTTGTGCCTATGTACATACAAGGCAAAGGTGAGCAGTTCGCGGCCTTGAAACTGACTGGTGGGTATGCCAGTTGCTGATTCCAGACCACTCAATTGCCCGATTACCTACCATAAACTGTGCCTAAGTACACGATGAATTATGTCTTTCTATCGGTAAATCCTCGAGGTATCCATGACTGCAAAGTGATATCTAGTGTCGGATCAAGCTGGAGGCAACATTTCTTAGGGTTGAGGAGAATGTATTGTAGGAAGAGGCTAGACAGATATCCTGAACAGCAGCAACCTGAGTCCCCAGAGAGCGTGAGTGTGTTCGAGTCTGAAGCATCAACGGTCAGGTGTCATCCGATACCTACATTACATGTAACTTAAGTTTAGTGTCTATAGGCTGGCGGGAGTACGGATGTACATGGACAGGACTTCTTCTATTGACCGAGTTCATCCCCGCATTGAAGTACCGCAAGCTCCGGATCAAGTACTCAGCCCCACGCGTCATGGCCCCTCGGGTCCCACCGACGACTGCATTTCGATGGACAACTAATAAGGTACTACTCCATGGCTGGACACGGCAGACTAACGAAGACGGGAGACTACGGTAGTGATATTCAATGATCCATGGATGTGATGGGATAGGTTCCAGATAGCGCGATTGCGCGAACGTACATGTATGTAAGTAAGTGTATACATGTAAAGGTATGTAAAGTCCGAATGAAGTGTAAGGGCTGGGTGCCGGGGGAGATCCCCCAGTTGAGGATTGAAACGGGAAGTTACCTAGAAATAACGTCGGCTTGTTCCCCTTGCTCTCGCTTCCCATCTGCCCCTGAGCCAACAATAACCTGCAGCATCACCGGTGGCACAACAGATACGCAAAAACACTCGGAACACACAAAGTCCCGTGTCCGACAGGCAACCCTCAAGAGAAAGAGACTCTGCTTTTGCGAACGTCGCTGCCGTCGAGTCCAGAAACCAGGGTAAAGCCAGCTTAGCCTAGTCCGAACATCTTTCCCTCCTCAGTTCAATCCTCACTCATCTGCTCTGGAGTCATTGGCGCCGAGTGATCCCCTACCGCCGGCGCTACTCTACAGCACAGTTGACATTTATCGCAAACACCCCGGCATCCTTTCTGGATCCATCATCCAGGTGACAGGCGAGACAGGTCTGGGACAACGAACTAGTCAAGTCCCCCGTTTCAGAAGAAGAGCTCTTGAAGCGCTCTGTTTCTCAATCTCACCTCACACCGCCGTCTTTTGTACATATTCCTCTTCAGCCATCTCTCCGGGCCCGCAGCGAGACTTGTTACGATGAAGGCTCTCAAGATGAACAAAGTGCTTCGCACCTTCACCAGGAAAAACCCAAGCGGTATGTCAGCCGAAACATGATGCGCAGCCCTCCCAACGCCTTGTCGCCGACCCCGTCGCGAAACCCATCGCGCATGCAGTGCTCATCATTCCAGTAGGACCTGATATCTCTGCCGATTCCCAGAGCGATGCGCCTGAAGCCGTCGCAAAGCGCAGTGTTGTATGTTGGCGCCGAATATTGTCCAGCCATTAAATACTAACCCACAAACAGAAATCCTTTTGCGAATCGTCGCGAGCCAACGGCGCCCAAGGCGGCGATGAGGTCCTCTACCTACCCCCGATTGTCGATGCAGCCGAATCTTCCCCGAGCGCCGCTGGCGAGTGCGCCTATCTCATCCGCCAATACCTGAAGGAGTACTACTGGAAGTATCCCGACTACCAGTACAATGCCCTCATGCTTGTCCGCATCCTCTCCGATAACCCGGGCGAGACCTTCACGCGCAACATCGACCAAAAGTTCGTCGAGACTACACAGAAGCTGCTCAGAGACGGCCGCGACTCCAGAGTGCGACAGATGCTGATGGAGACGCTATCGTCCTTCGAGACCACCAAGTTCTACGACGACGGCCTCAAGCCTCTGATCGAGATGTGGAAGTCGGAGAAGGAGAAGGCACAGAAGAGTTCATCAAAATCAGGTGTAGGTCCAACGGCTCTCTACTTCAGATCCCCAGAACGGACAAGTTATTAACAGTCTTCACCAGCGCGGTGCCGTTAAGTCATTCCGCCCACCACCAGAACAGCAGATCCGCCAGTTCCAACCACCGCCCGTCACCGATGCCCCGTACGCCCACAGCCGCGCGCAGAATTATTATTCGCGGCCCTCCCACAGCCACAGCCACAGCCGCCGACTACCCGATCCCGTCGAGCTCACCAGCCGCCTCGAAGAAGCGCGCACCTCGGCCGGCCTCCTGAGCCAGATGTCGGAAGAAACGTTGCAACAGACACTCATGCAGAAAGACCTCACAGCCGACATGTTGCAACGTGAATACCTCGGAAACGACCTGCTCAAAGAATTCTCCGATCGATGCCAGAAAGCAAGCCGCAGTATACAAGGCTACATGACAGCCGAGAACCCGGCGCCCGATCCCGAGACCTTGGGGTCGCTCATCGACACGGACGAGGTGCTTCAACAAGCACTGACTAGGCACCAGCGTGGTACCGTTAAGGCGCAGAAGGAAATTGCTCGATTAAACCAGGAAGCTGACCTGGTGGGTACCTTTGGAGATATGGACACGCACGAAAATGGCTACGGCACTACAAGACGGGAGTCGCCGCCTTTGGGTGCTGGGCTGGGCATAAGTAGTAGTTCCGGAGGCGCATCAGGTTCAGCCCCTCGCCGGCCCAACGGGAAGGGAAAAGAGCGAGAGCATGACCCTCTGGCTGCCGTGGGCCCATCGCCGTTCGTCGAGGACCCATTCCGGGATCCTGATGAATCCGCGGGAGTATCAAGGGCAGCCGCTGGCTCGTCCTCACACATGTTTGACTTGGAGCCGCCGTTCCACCCCGGGTTCCAGAATTCGGCTAGTTATGTGGGGAGACAGCAGAGTGCCGTGGGAAAGGAGGCCATGCATGGTGCTGTGGAGGAGGAATACGCACCACCGCCGGGACCACCAAGACGTCAGGCGGATGTTAGTGATGAGGATAGTGATGGATATCATGATCCGCCGAACAAGGATAAGCAGCCCATGTATCGGTATTAGAGGGGAGAGAGGGCAGTTGATGGGGAGACGGATGGGGGAGTAATGAGAGATACCTTTTGTTGAGCGGACTAAGGGGAGGACGTAAGATACCGTGATTGTTTTTGAAGTGCCTTTTATTGTTAGAGCCATATTGATATCACAGTCAGAGAGGAGGGTTGTTTGGAGATGGATTGAGAAAAGATGAGAGTTAAATCTCAAATTGTAGCATTTCGGTGCATTGCATTGTGCGTTTAATGGTAGAGTGTTATGCTTTAGCCTTGAGTGCGGTGCGTTGGATTCGATAATGTGGAAGGTTGGCATAGTCATGAACATTCTAGATAGAGTCTTGCGTATTTTCAACGTATTTGCTCATCCAATCCCTAAACAGTGGTCTCCATCTATTGTATAAACACATGCAAGACAGGAGCAGATCTTCGGAAGGATGATAGGTAGAAGCAAAAAAATGAACGTGGTCAGTATAGGGCTTGAACCTATGGCCTTCGCAGTAACTGTTCTTCCACTTCCATGTGAGAGATGTGCGTAATTGCGATGCTCTGCCAACTGAGCTAACCGAACTTTCTATTGTGTTCTGTTGTGTGAAGTTATTATGTTAATTGAGCTTTGGGGGTGGTGATGGAGCGGATCATCCGCGGGGTGTGTTAGGGGCTGGGGACGTGTTCCTAGGCATTCGAGGAGGTGTGGTTTCTCCGCTTGTGAATAGTGGATACTGGGGTTTATCGATCTGTGGTAGAAGTGGGCGATGAAAAGGAGGCCATTGATGCTCGTTTGCTCGTGGGTTGAAGTCTGCTTGGTGTGAGTTGGCATATAGGGGTTGGCGGGATGTCGAGTTGGGTTATTAGGCGCTGTAGGCTTTCTGCGAGATTTGGCTATTGATATATGAGAGAGACACTTGGTTGGTGCCCAATGTTCATCGCTGATATGAGATACACATTCATATGATTCTTCGCCTGCCGTGTGGCATAGAGCTGTTTTGCATATCATTCGAAGTATGAAAATCTCATGCCCAGATCGAACCCCCTTTAATCTAAGACTATAAACCATAGACAACGAGGCTCTGTCCGCAGACGTATCATCGTCTACACTCATTTTACTTCAATATGTCTAATCTTGGATCTCAATATTCATGTCGTGAATCCTCGTAAATCATAAGACGCAGCGCTAGCCGTCCCATTCAGGTGAGAACATCCAGAATTTTTATTTTCCTACCCCTTAAAAACATTTCAAGATACTTCTGCCGGTCTCCTTTCGTCCACTCGTAGGCGTCCATCCTCCGTCCTCTCGAGCACAAAGCATCGCTCTGCAAAGACACCTCGGGCGTTTTGCTCGCGCCAGGCGGCAGACAGACGGCGTATCATGACTCGCTTCCAGCCCCCTACGTTTATAGTGATGGACTTCCACGAGCTGGGCTGTTTTTGTTGATGCAAGAGCCGGAACATGGACAATACGTGATTGTAGTCAGGGTCTGTCTTGGGCCCGATGTCCTCGAAGACGTCCAATATAGTTTGTGTATGTAGTGTGAGGTTTCTCAGCTTCGGGAAGGCGCAGAGGGTGCTCAGGAACTTGTAAGGGTCGCAATGCCTCTCGTCCATATCTATCTCGAGTGTATGGAGCTGAACGAGATGGCGTGCCAAGTGCTCTAGGTCGTGGAGTTTCATTGTTGGACAGCGGCGATACTCGTCGCTGAATCCGGTGTAGTCGCGGAAGCGCAAATCCTGTAGCGAGCTTGCGTGGTGGATTAGGCCATCAATCGGGAAATGCGAGGTTTGACAAGTAATCTTCATGTCTGTCAGTGCTTGAATCCTCTTAATGAAATGGTATTGACCCTGTGTCGTCTCTCGGCGCCTGTTTTGTACGTGTGTGCTGAAATCATCCAATTGTAGACTTTTGAGACTTTCAAAGTCCTCGAAAGAGATTGAGCAGAGAAATGGATATAATGGTACATCTGTCAGTTCCAGATGTCTGATCTCCTTAAAATTCCAGTGTTTTGCAACTTCATCGCCGCTATGGTTCCAATCATACGAGCGGAGCGATAATTTGGTGAATGCCGGTAGTTGCTCGTCATCGTTGAAAGTGAACTGCGTCCCTTGTCCTCTATCGCCTAACGAGAAAACCTTGAGTTGGCGCGATTTCAGCAGCAGACCTTTCAACGTTTCTAGTCGCGCAGTGAGCGGTGGTGTTGGAATGGCCACATGGAGCGACGCGAGGCAAGCTGGCGGTATAGCTCTCAAGTACGGGTTATATCGCTCCGTTCTAAAGTCTCTAAGAGGTAGATTCTCAATATGCAACTTGATTGGGTTCACTTGGAGATGCCGTGGACTGAGTATGTCTGATGGGATCCAAAAATCGCTCTTGCAAAGAGCACTCTCCAAGTACCGCCATCTGGTGCGACATCTTAGTCTTGACTGTCTAAGCACATTTGTATGAGAGAAGATAGGTTAACTTACCTCACAGAAGATAATCGTTCGATTTTAGTCAAAAGCGCCCTGATAAGTTGAGGATCGAGGTCAGTCCCTATTTCTACGTGTCTCGTATGTCGACATATACTAGCAAGACCTTCTGAACAGTCCTGCTGCTTTCGTGGGTCCAACAATCCCGGTGTCAGGCGGATCGTTTTGTATCTTATTGGGGTCGCAATTGCTTTGAACTTCCTCGAAAGCCTCCGAGAAGCTGCCAACGAGTTTGCGTCGATGTTACTCAGCTGTAAAGTGGCATATTAGTGTGTTTATCTCTCGACCGTCGTAACAGTCGCACGGGTGCATGATCGTACTCTTTCTAATATCAAGACCAAAAGCTCGAAACTCAGCTCATCCAGGGACCACCTTGGCTGAGAACCGCGAGAAAGCGAGAGTGCCGCCATACAACAACAGTTATCATTGCCGTTAACGCCTCGTGGACCTATAAAAGGGGAAACGAGAGGAAGAGGGAGAGATGCACAAGAGCCCGGCATGATCCATGTTCGGTAACATAGATAGAGAAGCAAGGACGGTGTTTACAATTGCCAATGCACGTACGCCACGAGACCATGTGTAATCAGAGTGCTGCAGGTCGATATGCGAGTGCGTGGCTTTAGAGGTATCGAGATGAGAAGTGGAATATTTTCGCTTATCCCGAGTCGATTCAGAATAAACCCACCTAAGAGCAACTAAAGTTGGCGACAGTGTGAAGTGCATGTAGGTCTTACCGGCGCGGCGGATTCTATCATTGATGTCGGGTCCATCATCAGACGATCGACGACACAATGTGGACTGGCGAATATTGGACGGAGTAGCCAATGAGCTGAAGGGCTGGCACGTGGATTGCACCAAGCAACGGTGCAGGCAAGACCCTTTCCTAGATGCAACTAGACCTCTTTCGGGAATAATAACGAGATTTATGACGCGGGATGGGGTGTTACCAGACGATCAACGACTACATGGCTCGACGCGGTGATCCTTAGGGCTCAGGCAGACTCTCAGGATGTCAGCATAGGTATCTCTCACAGGCGAGACAGGGGAGGTATCGCGGAGAGGATGCATATCCAGCATTATTGGACTGCCAGCTTGAACGTGTATGCTGAGCTAGATGGACCACGTTCGGTGCAGATGAGAGGTCAATGGCTTGCAGAAGCGACTCGGGGATTGTACATTGGCGATGTCAGTCTGACGAGTTTGGTGCGACGTGGCAGAGAGGCAAGTAAAGTGCTAGACTGCCCACAGCCAATTCAAATCCCAATCGGGACGCGAGAACCGGTCCGGGGCCAATAGAATGGCATGCGGCTGTGAAAGGAGGAAGAAGGCCCTCGCTTCAAGGTTCAAACGATTCGCAACAATATCCGGAAAGGGTCTGTCAGCATGGGGTGCATGGGTGCATGGGCGGCATGTATTGAGACAGCCCGCCTCTCGCCGCCCTCGCCGCCCTCGCCGTTATGGATCGAGGGGGCCTCGGGGGCCATAGCGGGGGAGAGGGATCTCGGTTCGCATCGCATCCCTGCCGTCGCCCACATCCCTAGTACCGTTGTAGCGGAACAGTGGCACGACAGCTGAGCCCACTGTCAGTCTCGACGCTCGACTATGCGGGCGGCACTTGCAAGTGAATGCGACAGCCATTCTGAGCAACTCAGCTGTTGAGGACGTGGTGGAGGAGCGGGATGCGGCGGACCGAGATCATTCCCGTCTTCGACGATATAACGAACCGTGGGCCGATATATTAAACCTCTACACACACACTTTACTTCGGGTTCTTCACTACCTCATTTGAGTCAGAGAAACTGGCCACAGTGATGAAGCCCCCCGATGGCTGGCGAGGCACCTTCTCTTTCGAAATTTCCGAAATAAGATGGCGGCTGGATGTGTCATTGTCCGCCACGGCTGTAGCTGGTAGTAGCTGGTAGTCGCCGCTTGGCGTTTCGATGTGAAGTGCAGCACTCACAGCATCGTTGCTTGGATGTGGGCACCCGCTGTCAATAATGTCTCGGGTCTTGGGTGGTATTCTGCATCCCGACACGATGGGTTCGGCGGACTCTACCTTTAGGTACCACTGAACAGCGCACGCCCACATGGTGCTCTTGGATCAATTGCCTATTAAGGGTCTGCCGCTGTGACGTAAGCCAATCGCATCATTGCACGATGGAGCCAGATTCGTTCCCGTCGCAGCTGGCCAAGCTACGGTGGGGTAGTGCAGAATTCATTCAAGATCGCCTAGAGATTCGATGCATTGCCGCCTCAGACACAAATATTGGAAGTGGTCTGGAACAGGAGAGCGCCAATTTCCAGAGACCACTGCTTTCTCCGGCCTCAACATATTGCAGAATAACCTTGTACCTACCTACCTTATATTGATTATGCCCGTAGAACAGATAGCAGTATCGGTCTCTGGCTTGGAAGGGGCGCTTCTGACCAATCAGCATGTAGGCAATTCCAATTAGTCAGATTCGTCGACAGAGAAGTTCTGTGCGGAAATGGCGCAGCCACTTACCCTGGAGCCAGAATATCCTGGATGCCCATCCCAGATAATAGTTGAGTTGTCATTGCCAGCTCAACGGGACACAATTTGTGAAAGTCCAGAAATTCGACGTGGCTACGTCGCGTAGGGGTGGCACGCGCAAGAGCCTTCAAATGTTGGAATTGAAATCTACGCCCCAATGGTGAATGTTCTTACATTGCGCGCTGGTCACTACCTAGGTAGGATCGAGGTCCGACGCATGACGCAAGCTCCGTTGATCTTGCGTCCTGTCCGTGCAGTGTGCAATGGGCTTTTGTTTCCTTTGCTTTTTCCCAAGGCTACATAACCAAATGGGGCTTGGCTGAATATTATGGTACTATCCCAGTCAAGCCTGCAGTATCGTGCAGCATACGTATTATTGAATATAGACTGGAGTAATATCAGACGAGAAGAACTCAGAGTGCTGTCACAAAACGGTCCACTTATTCGGCTTCCCATCCGAGGCAAACCGGCATGGTCCATAGAGCACGAGGTTCAGATATATGTATATACACCTGTACCCAGTAGTATTCAGCCGCCGGTCGATTTGGTAGGGCCTGAATCTTTTATGGTCAGCCAGCTCTCGCCTTCGTGAG